AGCTCATTTCATTTTCCCCACTCAAGTCAGTGGAGAGCATGCTGCAGGAAATCTAAGGTAACCCAGCATCCACTGGGTTTATCCTCTTCCAAGTTTCCAGTCCCAGTGAGTTGCATGACAGATCCAAAGTGGCTGCTGTCCCTTTGAAAGCTGTGTCTATAACCCTGGTGTAATTCCCCAGCCTGAGCAAGTTTGTTGTCTTGTGACCTGTGTATAAGGACAGAGTTCCCTTTCTGTCTGGGCATCGTGGCCTGTATCAAAACCAGTGTGGCCAGTAGGAGCAGGGATGTGATTCTCCCCCTGTACTTGGCACTGGTGAGGCCACACCTTGAGTACTGTGTTCAGTTCTGGACCCCTCACTACAAGAAAGACATTGAGCTCCTGGAGCGAGTTCGGAGAAGGAGCTGGTGAAGGGTCTAGAGACTAAGTTCTCTGAGGAGCAGGTAAGGGAGCTGGGAGTGTTTAGCCTGGATGAAAGGTGCCTCAGGGGAGACCTTACTGCTCTCTGCCACAACCTGAAAGGAGCTTGAGGCAGGTAGGGGTCAGCCTCTTCTCCCAGTGACAGGACAAGAGGAAATGGCCTCAAGCTGCACCAGGGAAGGATCAGGTTGAACATCAGGAAGAATTTCTTCAATGAAAGAGTGGTTAAGTATTGGAATAGTCTCCCTAGGGAAGTGGTGCAGTCACTATCTCTGGAAGCAGTCAGGAAACAACTGGATGTGCCATTTAGTGCTGTGGTTTTGTTGACAAAGTGGTGTTGGTCAAAGGTTGGACTTGATGATCTTGGTGGTCATTTTCTAATGATTGTATGAAAGTGGCTTGGTAAACTCTTCTAGCCGCTCCCTTGGTACCCTTGAAAGGATCCCATTGTGGCCTATAGAATTAATGTTGGTGTCCAAGTGGAGTAGCAGGTTGCTGACAGTTTGCTCCTGGATTATGTGGGCTTCATTCTGCTTCCTGTCTTCCAGCTCAGGGGGCTGGGTTCCCTGGAGACTGCTGGTTTTACTGTTAAAGACTGAGGAAAAGAAGACATTAAGTAATTCTTTTCCTCATCCTTCCTCATGTGTTCCCTGTGCATCATGTGAGGATGGAGAATCCCCTTAGCCCTCCTTTTTTTGCTGATGTATTTTATTAAATATTTTGTGTTGTCTTTTACAGCAGTAGTATATTAAGTTCTACATGGGCTTTGGCCCATGTAATTTTCTCCCTGCACAGCCTCCTGACATCCTTGTAGTCTGCATGTGGTCCTTCTTCACTCTTTCATCATCTCTATCAACAAGGAATGGAATTACCTCTTGGTAACGTTAGTGTGAAGAAGTAGAAGAATCTGGACTGATTTTTGCCCTTGTCAGTTTGGAATTTACTTTAGCATACTGGTAACAAAACCTTGGGTTGTAAACTGAACAAGCCCTTTTCCATGGACATCACAGCTTTCCTGACATAGTGAAAGTGAATAGTATCATCCTCCTTGCAGAAAAACCAATGTGAACAAGATCAATAGCCACGAAGTGTCTTTCGTTCCCTTTGGTTTTCTGTGGATAAATGCAATCTCCTTGAAGGAAGTCATTTTATGTCCTTCTGAATGCTGGTATAAATGGAATAGAGACATGAGAAAAACTCTCCTAACTATATTTTAATCTCAGGACAAGGCATTTTTCTGTTGCATTAGAGATAATAGAAATTTGGCAGAAAATAAGCCCCACTGCATTCCAGCTGGTCCTCAGAGATCACAGGAGCTGTGGACGCAGCTTGGCTTAACTTCTGCTCATAGCCAGTTTGGCACTATCAGCCTGGCTGAGTTCAGTAAGAACTTGAACAAATTGGTGGTGGTAAATGCACCAACTACAGCCTGCTAATAAGCTGCTGCAGAGATCTACGAGCAATATATATTAAAAAAAAGCACTCCTGTGTCTGCTCCAAAACAGTTGGAGGTGCAAAGCTCACCTAAAGGTGTCCCCTCAAGGGGGGGGACACCCATTGACCGATCCAAAGCAAGCAGAGGGGTTTCCCCGCTCTCTCTATTGTATTTTTTTTTTGCCCCAAATCCCTCCTTCATTTATAGTATAATTTTTGGCCCTTCCCAAAGAGGTGGAACAATCGCATGCTATATGTGAGGTTTTGGTGACTGTGGTCACTGAACCAAGTTTGAAATTAGAGGGTTTGGGTTTTTTCTTTGAAATCTGGTGTTGTGGTTTTTTTTTCTCCTTCCCTGAGAGCTGCTACTTACTGCTGAAGTGGTTTGGGGCTTACCTGCCATTAGTTGCACCACTCTTGCATCAGGAGACTTACAGACTAAACCTGGCTAAATGAGGTAGCATTTCCTTTTTTGCTCAATATACGTTCCTTTTCCTAGGAATTTTCCTCTGGCAACATTAAATGTTTCAATGGACACAGTTTAAGATCAGTGAGAAAAAACATGCCACCCTGTTCGGGCTCCAGCTTTGACCAGAGCATGGAAATCCTGAGTGAAAATGTCAATCGACACTTTACGAGGTATTGCATTTCTAGTGTTCAATCTCTGTTCAATTCATACAATGAAAAGGAGAAGTGAAAGCATGCAGTGAGTCATGTCATGATAAATCTACAGCTAAAAATCTGCAGGGGAATGTGACTATGTTAATGCCAGTGCCTTAGAACTAGAATCACTTCTCTTAGTAAAAGTCTTCTGCTTGTATAAAAAGCTTCTATCTCTTCCCAGGTACTTTGAGATCTCTCCTTCACTTTGGTTACTGAGATATTACTTGCCCTAATGAGATGTCAAGATAAGCAACTTTAGGAGATGTCTGTCCTTAGAGAACTGTGTGCATATGGTACACAGCAGGCTCAGGATCTGAATCCTCCCTGAGGTCCATAAGCTTTTCTTTGCATGATGTGGAGCACTGGGTTATAAACCTGGAGAAATTCCCCACTCTGGAGAGGGAACTGCACAATGCAATGATATAATACTTCTGTACAACACTTCTAATACAATGCTGTTCTCCTTTTCTCTGCCCTCTTTCTTCATGCAGGCAGTTGGCAAAGCTGAAATCAGATCCAAAAAAGGAAGATTATAAAGGTAAGTGGTCATAATTCCTTGGGATTGCTTTTTAGCCTGGTTTCTGACGATTGCATTTGGTCACTCTGTCCGTTTAACTTGGCCTCAAAACCTTCTGAACTCATCAGCCAAAACCAGCTGAAGTTATGAGAGTAGATATCTCAAAGATAGGAATTTCCACTGAGATTTATGAAAAGAGGTAGGTGCAAATAGGAGGAGATGCTATTAATTCCTTTCAGGCTTGGGAAGAACGCAGTGCGAATTCCTGAATCCTTAGGCACTAGAGAATTTGTTCTTTCGCTCAGGTTTCATTGTGACATAGATTTTTCGCCGTCTGTAGAACACAGGTTAACTCTAAATCATTCTTGCGAGTAGGAGGGAATATTGCAGTATTGTAATACACGAGTTAAAAAGAAATTTAGTCATGAGATGCGCAAACCCACTGGTGTGTCGAAGGTGTCCCTGAAGTTGAGCATTTTACCTTGGAAGCGAATTGCCGTGCTGAGTACTGAAGTGGGCTTGGTGCCGTGAGGCCACTTGCTGGGAGCTGGGAAAATCCTTTAGCTCCAGGCAGCATCCTGCCAGCCAGAGGCTGAATGCAGGCAGGGGGCCCAAAATGAGCTTTGTGCATAGTAACTCAACTTCTACTTGTGCAATTAAGATTATTATTTACTGAGCTCAGAGTTAGTTTTATAGTTGGTGATGATGAGGTCAAACCTGACTCTGTTTAAACAGGGTGATAGATCTACTACTCTCTCACTGACCTCTCGTACCTGTTTTAATGATAGTGCAAGTAACGAACCTGTGGCTAAGGGTGCTCTCTGGTAAACACTAGGCAGGTATTTTTTTAAAGCAAGCAAACATTCTGAGTTCTTTTGTATTTGGGAGTTTCTCTTCTGGAGCTTTTGTGTCATCATGCAGAAAATGAAAGTGATGCTTCAACACCCTACTGAAAAACTGCATCTTTAGAAAATACTTTCCACATAAGCAATTTTTAGAAAAAGCTATTAGATACAATTTTACATGAATGGAGTGAAAACACGTTAGAGATAGGTATTTGTTATTTTCACTTTTCCAGAGAGAAGTAATTGGAGTAAGTTTGGAACAAAAGCTGGGTATTTGTTTTCATCAGATTGGCTTTCCAGTCTGTACAAATCAGATTTTTAAGTCAGTAGTTTAAGCACAAGTACTTTAAGCTGAATGCTCTGGCCATGACAATAACTTTGAATTCAGTGTTTAAAGAAGAAAAAAAAAGTCAAAGGCAATTTTTTTACATTTCATTACAGCAACACTGAAACAAAGGGAATAACATTTTCCATCTGAAAAAGTTTTATATATTATTGCATTGTAGCGACCAGAACACTGAAAACCAGAGCTGGCACAAAAGCTGCAGAACAAGTCCATGAAGAAAATGGGGATTTGGAGGTTCGCCGGAGCTGCAGGGTTCGCCAGAGCCGTTACACCACTACCAACGAATCCATTCTGTTTGACAGACTTGTAACAAAGTAGGGTTTTTTCATCATCTTGCAAATCTGCTACAATGAGCCTTATTAGCAAGTGTTTGTGCTATGGCAAAGTACAGGCTAGGGACTTTCTCTCTTTTAACAGAAAAATGTATTGCTCCTGGCAGTAAGAGCTAAATGCACTCAGTGGTTAGGCTGAGGCCTCCCTGCATGCCACTATATATATATGATATATTCTAGTGATTAGATGTTAGAAAGAAATGGTTTACTGCAGGGGTGTTGAGGCACTGGAACAGTTTGCCCAGAGAATCTGTGGGTGCCTCATCCCTGGAACTGTTCCAGGACAGGTCGAATGAGGCTTTGAGCAGCCTGATCTGGTATGTATAGGCTGGATGGTTTTATGTGTTTTCTTGTGAACCAAACCAGTGGGTTTATGTTGTGACTTTCAGTTGATTGAACTTAAGATACTAAGGAAAGGTGGATACAGGCAAAGTGAAGCAGTGCTAGTGTTTCTGCCTGTCTGTCTGTGGCTTAATTCTCTTTGTGAAGCCCAAAGGGACATTGTTTTCTGAAAGGTTTGCCAAGTGTAACAGCAGCGAGATGCTTCCTCTAGCATAGATAGTCACAGAAAATCAACAAAAACTTAAATTGTAGTTTAGGCAGGAACGAGCAACCTGTTGTCTGAAGGAGGCTGTGAACCAAAAATGACTTAATGCTGTTATGCAGAGCAACTTAAGTGCAATGAAAAACTACTGTTATTTCTTTCTGTTATCTTCAGAATTCTTTTTTCCTACTAAAGCAGTT